CTGTTTGTTAAATGTTGGTTAACTAAGTTATGATACATTTGTACAGTACACGAAGCCAGAAAAAATAGAATGAGGGAAGTCTCAAATATAATAAGTGAAAAAAGCAGAATGTAAACAAATGTGTCTAATGTGCTATTATTTGTGTAGCTTTTGCTACAGATTTGATGTTTCATAATGAATTCAACCTAAAATTACATGGCAAAATAGCACTTGTATGCAAAATTTATAATGTAGTAAAATCATTCTAATAAATAACATTGTTTGAATCATAAATAATATCAAGCTGCTTTATATATTTCTCACTCTGTCAAAAGTTAAAATAAAAGCCAGGTGTGATGGCTTGCACCTGTAATCCCAGCTTCTGGGGAGACTGAGGCAGGAGAGAAGGATCACTTGAGCTCATGAGTTGAAGACCAGCCTGGATGATGTAGTGAGACTCCGGTCTCAAAAACAAAAATTAAAACAAGAAACAAAATCCATCCCCATGTAGATTTATAGTGGACATGTTCCAAGCTTAGACTGCAGTTTCAACAGCATTTTTCATCCCTGATACAGTGCAAAGGAAATTTGTTTGTCTCAAAATCTATTCAGTTGAGGAGTTTTCACCTAACTTTCACTTGGAAGAGACTAATCTGCCACATACAGATATGCTAAAAGGAAATATCAATACAAGAATTTAACAGGATTCTATAAATACCTAAGCAATTAATATGTTCAGTTAAACTCATGCTTGTGGACTAATACCGGCATTTGGCAGTTTCTATTTGTGTGAAGTTGTTCTCAAAGATGAAATATGTTATAAATAAATATTAACAGGGCAATTAGGTAAGAAAAAGAAACAGACATTCAGATTGGAAAGGAAGTAAAACTATCTCTAGTCATGTATGACATGCTCTTGTACCAAATATAGAAAATCCTAAGGAATGAAATGAAGAAAACAGTTCCATTTACAATGCATCAAAAAGAATAAAATACTTAGGAATAAATTTAACTGGAGAAGTTCAAGCCTTGTGCACTAAAAACTGTGCACATTGAAAGAAAATAAAGATGACCTAAATAAATGGAAAAACATCCTATGTTTGTGATCAGAAAAGTTAATATTATTAAGATGGCAATACTCCCCACACTGTTCTGCAGATTCACCACAATCCCTTTCAGAATCCCAGCTGCCTTTATTGCAGAAATTGACAAGTTCGTCCTAAAATGCAAGGGGCCATTTTGCTACTTAATATATGTGGCAGGGGAATGTGTGTTCAAGTAAGTGGAGCACAGTAGTGGCTGAGACTTGCTGTTCATTTAACCTGGTATTATTTTGTTGTAGGAGAATGACATCTTCCTGGGCTGGGAAAAAGGAGCTTATAAAAAATGGGGAAAGAGTAAGAAAAAATGTTCAGATTTAACTCTAGAAGAAATGAAAAAACAGGCTGCTGTCCAGTGTCTTCGATCTGCTTCTGATGAAGTAAGTTTGCATTTTATTTCTAATACTTAAGAAAAGAGGGGGTGCTTGAAGTTTACAAATGTAACAGCTTGACCCAAAAAACTTAGGCAAATAGACTACTCATTATCTTACCACTGTAACATGAACATTATTACTTTTCCTTTATGTTATTTTTTCATGTATTGAAAGTTTTATAAGGTATACTGTTTCATATATACTACTTTTTCTTTTTTTTTTTTTTTTTTGAGACAGAGTCTTGCTCTCTTGCTTGGGCTAGAGTGCCATGGCGTCAGGCTAGCTCACAGCAACCTCAGACTCCTGGGCTCAAGCAATCCTTCTGCCTCAGCCTCCCGAGTAGCTGGGACTACAGGCATGTGCCACGATGCCTGGCTAATTTTTTCCTATATATTTTAAGTTGTCCACCTAATTTCTTTCTATTTTCAGTAGAGACGGAGTCTCACTCTTGCTGAGGCTGGTCTTGAACTCCTGACCTTGAGCGATCCTCCCACCTTGGCCTCCCAGAGTGCTAGGATTACAGGCGGGAGCCACCACACCTGGCCTATATATGCTAATTTCTTTTTGTTTTTTTAGAAAATATTATAAGATTTTATTCCTCTTTTAGCACTTTATATACAATATTTCTCATGTCTTTCAACATCCTGAAATAACAGAATAATTTTAGAATATTATCATCTATCTAAATTAATATTATGAATTCTTATGTAATCTCTGAGATCATAACTACTTAACAATTATTTTGCTTTGACCATGCTATTTGAGATAGTGTGGTTTAAGTACTTTTATGATGCAAGGTCAAATTGAGAGGATTTTGACTCCCAGAAACTTTTTTCCTGACCTAAATTGTTCAAAGGTCTGATGTTGGGATAGCCAGCTTTGCTACATTTGATAAACTGTGGAAGTTTATTCTGTCTGGCTACCACCTACCGCACGTGCCTTTTAACACTTACTGTTCAGTGTTCAGGTTTCCCACTGTGGGTTTTCATCCAACGCAGAATTGTCTGTGAAAGCCTGGCTTTCCTGGCCATGTACTCAGGCTACCTTGTATATACCTCAAATATTATGGCCTTCACATCCTAAATTACAATTGTTTGTTTGACTGTGCTCATTGGGTCAAGGTTTGGGAGTTACCTGTCTTTTTTTTTTTTTTTTTTGAGACAAGAGTCTTGTTCTGTCATCCAGGCTCAAGTGAAGTGGCGTCATAGCTCACTGCAACCTCAAACTCCTGGGCTCCAGTGATTCTTCTGCCTCAGCCTCCCCAGAAGCTGGGACTACAGGCGTGCATCACTGCAGCTGACAAATTTTTCTGTCTTTCGTAGAGACAGGGTCTCGCTCTGGCTCAGGCTGGTCTCGAACTCCTGAGCTCAAGTCATCTTCCTGCCTTGGCCTCTTAGAGTGCTAGGGTTACGGGTGTGAGGCACAGTGCCTGGCCTGTCTTTTTTATTTCCTACTAGCTGGTAGACTGAGTGCTTATCACATAGAAGGTGCTGAATTTCTCTTGAAATGAATGTAATGTTCATTTGTTTAAAAAGCCTACCCTTTTCTTCTGATCCTTTTTCCTACTCCCAACTGTTATTTTCCTTTCCCCCACCCCTTTGATTTTTTTATCTTCTGAATTTCTTAAGGCTGCTGTCTTACACACTATGGGCTAGGAATTTGGAAGTTACTGCTTATACCTTTAGTCAGGTACAAGAAGGAACATAATTAGCCTAGTTTAGAAAAAATATAAATATATATAAAGGATATAGGGATATCTTACTGAAACCAGGTGCTGGAAGTGTAACAACCTTAAGAGGGACCTGAACTGGGAACTATAGGATGGACAGACAAAGTCACTTTCTGTAATGACTCACAGTCTCTCATTTGCTTCTCTACCTGTGTCTGGGTCATTCCCTTTCTTCCTGAACTCTGGCTCTCTGTGCTTTAGTATACATGTGATGAAGAGTGGAGATTCCAGCCCAGCATGACCCCTGAACTCTGCAGTCCGGCACCATCTAGAGAGAGAATCTGATTGGCTAGCCTTGAGCCAGGTGTCCACCCCTGATTTGATAAGCCGTGGCATGCAGGAAGGGCTGCCTGGAGGTCCACCCCTTCAGCAGGGGCTGTGAGTGATGAGAGGTCTGCAGAGAAAACTGTGGTTAGACAGTAACCCAAATGGTGTTTTCTTCGTGACACTGAGGGAGTAGATTGATAAAGTAATTTGGAGCTTTTAAAGGAATTTAGATGCAGATGGTTTTTTTGGTGAGAGATTAGTTCAGGTAAATTCTTTGAGCAACATCCAAAGAAGCTGCTGAGTCATGGTTGGGAGGAAAATATGAGTAGGGCAATTTCAATCTGAGAAAGGGTCTTATTTCTTCTTTGGACCAAAGTTCCTGAGAAATAACTCTAATCTTCAGCTCACAGTGAAGCTGAGTAAACAACAGGAGCAGCTGAAATCAACTGTGAAAGAATGAAGAGTGTAAAAACCTTATAAGGGTAATGCAAGACCCTACTCCTTATAGCTTGTTTAATTTGTGTATAGTTCATGCTAGGCGAGTATGTTGTGTTCTCAAAAGAACTTGGTATTAGGTAGAAATAGTGCAAGGGAAGGATAGTGGTTTGCAAAGATCTTTGATTCTTTAGGTTATTGCTTTGCAAAATGCTTTTTTTTTTTGCCTAGCTGTCATAGGTGGGATTTTTATTTTTGACTCCAATAAAGCATACTTGTCCTATCTTGTTTTTCTCATTTTATAAAAAATGGTTGCATTGCTTTTTCCTAATAATGATTTTTTTAAATCTTATCAAACTTAAATTGAGGAAATGAATGTGCCAGCTGTATTCCCGGTGCTCAGTGATTACTTATGGAATGAATGAAGAGACAGTCTTCAAGTCTCAGTTTCTTGCTCCAGAGCCACATGCTGTTGTGTGTGCATCAGTCTACAGATCCTGAAACCAGCTCTGCTGATTCTTGGGAAGCCAATGGAAAGAACTTGAACAGAACCCTCTTTAATTATTGCCTGAAGCAATAGAAAGAATCAGTGTGGTACTTTATGAATTGTACGCTGTGTCCCCTGGTTTTCTTTTTAGAATCTATCTGTTGGCTTTAATGGAAGGAAAGGAGCAAGGAGGACCTACATAGGAAATTACAATGCAAAATTTTATTTTATGTTTTGGCCACAACAAACGTTTGCATTTAAGTGTGTTGTTCATTTCCTAGATACCGAGGATGGTAATGTTTGTGGTACTGTGCTATGCTTTCCCACCCAGTTTAAATGTCCTCTTATAGCTCTTTCTAGTAAACTCCTTAGACAGTCACTACCAGCTAATCACAAAAAAACCCACTAACAATTCAAGTTTACAATCTAGTAGATTAAAATGTTAATGACAATTATATGACAATAATATAGACAGTTATATTAGTTATAGGTGTAGGTAGGAAATAGTGGGGATGGTATGCATCACATGTGAGATGAATTCTTTTCTCATGTTTGTGTGTGTGACTATTATAGTTACAATTTGAATGATTTCTGTGAAAAAAATCCATAGTTATCAGAGTATTCACTGTGTCATGGTTTAAGGAGAATGGCTTACTTCTTTTTTTTTTTTTTTTTGAGACAGAGTCTCACTTTGTTGCCTGGGCTAGAGTGAGTGCCGTGGCGTTAGCCTAGCTCACAGCAACCTCAGACTCCTGGGCTCAAGCGATCCTACTGCCTCAGCCTCCCTGGTAGCTGGGACTACAGGCATGTGCCACCATGCCCGGCTAATTTTTTTCTATATATTTTTAGCTGTCCAATTAATTTCTTTCTATTTTTGGTAGAGACGAGGTCTCGCTCTTGCTCAGGCTGGTCTCGAATTCCTGAGCTCAAACAATCCGCCCACCTCAGCCTCCCAGAGTGCTAGGATTACAGGCGTGAGCCACCACGCCCGGCCGAAAATGGCTTACTTCTGACTCAACTTTTACGTTCTTGGGTATTGCACTATACCTCCACTTTATCCTTGTAATAAATTGAACCCCACATTACAGCACATATCTTGACCTGTCCAGCTCAAAATTTTATTTGAGAGACATTGCCAAAACAGTATGGCAACTCGGCTGTGTCAATAGTTGGTAACTATGTATTTCCCCAGGGAATTGTGGCCTTTGATGGGCTTTGTTGGTTGGTAGGTCCCATCTGAAAGTGCCTTTCCTAATTCCCTTTTCATTTACACATGCAGATAACATACAAGTCTCCAGGTATTCATTTTCTATAATATAGCTGCACTTGCAAATACATATATAAGCATTTAGTTTGGCTGCAGTTAGTAATGGGGTCTGTTGAAGAGGTGCTATGATTCATTAATAAGCAACTCAAACCCTCCCTCAGATGCATATTCTTTATTAAATGTTAGTGTCCTGAGTGGTCTGTTTCATTTCTGTTATCAGTGGACACGATATATACCTGATACCGTTAAATAAATCCAGGCTGCCCTTCCTTTCCCCATCTAAAAAAATAGAAAACAATATTGAACTGTGCCCCAACTTTTGTTTTTTTTTGAATCCTCGGGTTTACTTGGTTCTGTTTTCTCCACTCCCAAAGTTAGGGCTTTTTGAATATTGTTTGTTTTTACTAATTAGTTATATTTCTATTTTGTTTTTATTGAGCCACTTAAAACTGAGTCAAAGCTAGTATTTCATCTCCCACTTTGAAGGTGGTTAGAAGATTAGAAACTTAAAATGCCCTCTTTGGAGAGTAAATAGAATGCAATGATAACTTTTTTTAGTTAAGTTAGTTTTGATAGTAACAGTGCTGCAGCTTACTCTGGATAACTGACTAGATCTATCGTTGTTTAAAGAGCCTTCTAGAGGATTTATGCCCTCAGTGTAATGGAGTATTATCATTTCACTTATATTCTCACATTCAGCTAAGCTCCCAAGTATAACCCTTTTTGCTAGCAAAAGTGTGAAGTACCTCTTGGCATTTTGTATATGTATTATTTATATGCTGTACAGGATTGTATATACAAAAAAAAACCATGTACTATTT